AGTTAGAAACCAGCGCTTAATTTAACTGATATAATAAAATTTAAGAGTTTTAATTAAATTGAGAAAAATGTAGCATTTATTTGATATAATGTATAATAAATGCTGGTGGAACAGGTTTTTTTTTTTTTTTGCCCTAGTACTAAACATACTGTTCTAGGACCATACAGGACATTTGAATATATCCCTAAGGAGAAAGAAATCTTACATAAAACTGGACAGAAAAGCAGTGATTGTTTTGCAGAGCTGCCAAGAAGAAAGGCAGGCTGACAGGAACACATATAAAATCTGTACACACTTTTCAGTTTCTCAAGAAACTGCAGATATCATGTGAGATGAAAGCTGGTTCCAAGATCATGTCCTAGACACTGGCTGCCTGTTAAAAAAGCATGCCTCTCAGGTTTATCTGTTCTTTTAGTCAGCTCCACTGGAGACAAGAATTCAAAAAGGCATTCCCATTTGGGGTTGCTCCTGCCTTCCCTTCTTGAGCCGAGGGGCGTGGAGGGGCATTTTCCTTGAAACAAAGGCATATGGGGTTTTGGGGGGGTCGCCAGCCTCCTCTGCCCCCTCCCCATGCTATCTGCACAGTATCTACTTCAACAAAATTTCTAAGAAGTGAACTTAAATTACCATTATGAATCATTCACCGTTCCTCCCGCCTTCTTTTACAGTACTTTCTTAACCGAAACCTGGATTTGGGTCTCCCCCTCCCTCCATCTTACTGCCAGATACATTTATTATTCATAGTCCGGGGCGTGTCTTAAGCCGGGGATCTATATAGGCAACAACTGCGGCTGAATGAGAGATCAGATGGAGCAAAGTTAGAGAGCGAGCGCAAGTTGCAGGCAACAAGGAGATTTATCGACAAAAAGAAAGGACATTTATCTTCTTTAAATTATTATTATTTTGCATCATCTTTTCTCTCCTGCTTTTCTTCTCTAGTCTCTTCCCCCCATCCCCGGACATATCATTTTAGCTTTTTGGGGAGGGACGCTAAAAAAAATTGTGTGGCAAAATAGAAAAAAAAAAAAAAAAGTAATCCCCAAAGGAAGCGATTTTTGTAGCTTTGAAAGGAAAGAGAGCACTAGCTTTGGAAACAGAGAATATATACCTCTGAATGACTGTATTGATGTTAAAGGGCAAAATAGGGGAATTGTTCCTGCGGCAGAACTGAAGGGACTGAGAGCCTTCTCTTGTCCTGGCTTGTTCCTGCGCATTTGCTGCGTATGTGAGAAAGAGGCTGGTCTCCTCCAGGCTTTGGAGTTGGAGAGAAGACCGTGTTCAGATCTCTACCCTCCTGCCACCTTTTTTTAACTACTGGGGCTCCCGCAGAAGCTACAAGGAGCGGCGCCTCTCGTCCTCCCGCTCCTCAGGCAGGCAGGACGGCGCTGTGCTCTGCCCCTCAACTCGCGACTTCAGAAGCGTGTGTGTGAGAGGGCGAGTGAAGCTGCGCGCCCCTTGCTGTGTTGGTGCTTGCCTGTTCCTCGTCCTGGGCACGAGGGGTGCTCGGGCCGGTCCGTCCCCACCGCTAGAGGCTGCTTGCCGCCCCTCTCCCCTCACTGCCTGCCGCTCTTGCTCTTCTTTGCGCCCCCCTGTCGCCGTTGCTAGGGTGGCGGGGCTATGCTTGCTGCTGTGGGCAGTGGCGGCGGCGACGGCGCTGCTGAGCCGGCTGGCGGTGGCGGT